AATACTTCAATGCAAGGCATCAAACATTTCTTGAGTAATCGTCTCCACAACGAGTAGGTTTTGTTTTTGTTCCATGAACGTTGACTTAAATGCGTCTTCTATTTTTCGTGCTTAACTCACTTATTCTTTTGTTTACATTTTTTTCATGGATTAATAATTGCTCTCCATATTCAACGTCTTTTGGTATTTCTTGAGTTATCGTTTGGAAACCGAGTGTTTTGTTTTTGTGTCACGAACGTTGACTTCAGTTAGGTGTCTCGTGTTGACAACAAAATATTTACGGTGGTGACCTCTATTTGTGAAGCGCGCCCTCTTTTGAAAGAAAATTAAAGCTGACTTTAATAATGAGGCAGGTTTTTCTCCGTTTTAATACAACGCATTTTTTTTGCTATATTCTTTTTATTACTAGACAATTCCTCTTCATTTTTCACAGATTTTTGTAATCTACAACATTTAATCAATTTACGAAATGTCAATTCCATGCAACATGTATTTCTTGAGTTAACTTCCGGAAATCGAGCGTGTTGTATTTTTGTCATCAAATAAGTTCACTCAAAACCGCCAATTATTTTTTGCGCTGAACACACTACATTTTCGGGATATATTAATTTTATTTTCTAACAATTCCTCTCCAAATTCAAAAGTGTTGTGTTATCTATGACGACCAATCAGGAGATATAATTTCACTCCAATACAAGAAAATTATTTTCTCTAAATATTTAACAGGCAAGTGTTGCAAGTCATACTTTACATCTAGTCAAAATTTCAATCCAATAAAATAACTAGTTTTTGAGCAATCGTGTGGCGTAGGTGTCACACGATTTTCTGGAGGCCGTGACTTCACTTTGGATGGGCTTTGTTCGTGTTACTGAAATTATATTGCCGCCGATAATCTGTGTTTTCTCTCTCGATATTTATCATGCTTGTGTTGACTGTCATGCTCAACCTCTATAGGAAAAATTCCAATGTAATGTAACAAATATTTTTGAGTTATCGTGTGACATTATGTGTGATTGTGTTTTTGTTTAATAGTAAGGACGATTTTCTGGACACCGTGACTTCAATTGGGAATGCAGTTTTGTCGGTGTTACAAAAAACTATATTGGCGCCGATAATCTCTTTTTTGTATGTCAGTATTTAACAGGCTTGCGGTGCCAGTCATGCTTAACGTACAACTATATAGTATTGAGTAAAAAGTGATTTGTACAAATTTCATAGAACAAGAAAGAAAATGAGATCGAAACAATTAAATGTTTTAAACGTGAAAAATATTATCCAAATGAAGCAACGTTCATGGCAAAAAAAGTCACAACTCCATTTCAAGAAGAAAAGAAATTTCCAAGAGGTTTCGTTGTTTCCTTTTTTTCAAGGGCATTTTACCCAAACTCTTTCCAACTACTCTTTGCTTTCTGATTGTCTCGCACAGAGACAGCTGTACCCAGCGGTTTAATCTTTCAATAGAGGGCGCACCACATGCACAGTGGTCGCTACTGCTAACACGCAGAGTCAACACGAACTGGTATTGAATAAAAAGAAGACACTCATGGTTCAGGTAATATCTCATGGAATACTAAACGTATTAAACCAGTATTTCGTTGAGTAATTGTTAATAATGTGTTACGATCGCCAGTACAATTTCAAGTGAATTCGTCAAAGAACAAAAATAATGTGAGCGAAACAACTTAGTGTGTTAAACCTGTAAAATACATTCCGAATGAATGACATTGTAAATGACAGAAAATAATATATGGTTCGGTGGATAAGTCACAATTTACAAATTGTATTTTAGTGAAATTCCGACCAATAATTCGTCATAATATAACGCATTCAGGAGTATATTTTCGTGGGAATTCGTTAAAAGAGAACGAAAACAAGATTGAAACAAGAAAGTGGACTGAAGTCTGTGCGCAGTGAGCGGTGTTTGTTTAGCGCGCCCTCTTAATATGGAAGAAATTAATGCATGACGATAAAAATAACACGGAGTGTCCTCACAATGCTAATTTCTTCAATTGTTTTACATTCATTCGTTGGCAGTTCCTGTCATTTTTCAAGATGCTCTTGCCAAATATCATGGCAAAATATTAGAGGAATTTTCATTTCAATGCAATGTGTTTATCTTGAGTTGATACAATAACTGTGTTTACACTGTTGAGGCAGAGAAAACGATATTTTTATTCTCAATTTTCTACCTTGTTTGTCTTTTTTTCATGACCAATCATCTAGCCAGAATTCAATTCAATGTGTCTCTTAATTTTCTGAGACAGCGTTTCTACCTGGAATGTCGTTTCTGTGCAAAAGAGAGGCAAATGTTCTGTTTGGACTGTGACTGCAGCCTATAGCCAAGTTTTTTCTCCGTGTTGACACAAGACACTGCTGATGGGGAGAAAAACAATATTTTGTCTCAATCTTCTGTCTTGTTTTGTCTATTTGTCATGACCAGCCATTTGGCCACAATTCAGTTCCATGCATCACTTAATTTTGAGATAGCGTGTCCAGCTGGACTATCGTTTCTGTGCAAAAGTGAGGCAAATGTTCTGTTTGGACTGCAACTGCAGCCGATCACCAAGTTTTTCTCCGTGTTGCGACACAAGACACTGTTAAAGAAGAGCAAAACAATATTTTGTCTCAATCTTCTGTCTTGTTTTTCTGCTTTTCATGACCAATCATCTGGCCACAATTCTATTCGATGCATCACTTAATTTTTGTTATAGCGTTCCGGCTGGACTATCGTTTCTGTACAAAAAAGTGAGGCAAATGGTATGTTTGGACTGCATCTTCAACCCATCGCCAAGTTTTTCTCCGTGTTGCGACTCAAGACACTGTTGAGGGAGACAAAAAAATGTGTCTTAATCTTCTGTCTTTATTGTCTACTTTCCATGACCAATCATCTGGCCACAATCGATTCGATGCATTACTTAATTTTTGAAATAGTGTGTCCAGCAGTGCTATCGTTTCTGTGCAAAAATGAGGCAAATGTTCTGTTTGGACTGTCTGCAGCCCATCGCCAAGTTTTTCTTCGTGTTGCCGGAGGAACCTGCTGATGGTGAGAAAAAACAATATTTGTCTCAATCTTCTGTCTTGTTTGTTTATTTGTCATGACCAGTCAGCTAGCTAAAATTCAATCAGTCAGCTAGCTAAAATTCAATTCGATGCATCACTTAATTTTGAGATAACGTGTCCAGCGTGACTCTAGTATCGTTTCTGTGCAAACTGGTGGCAAATGTTCTGTTTGGACTGCGTCTGTAGCCCATCGCAACGTTTTTCTCCGTGTTGCGACACAAACCACTGTTGAGGGAGAGCAAGACAATGTTTTGTCTAAATCTTCTGTCTTGTTTGTCTATTTTTCAAAACCAGTCATCTGGCAACAATTAAATTCAATGCCTCATTTAATTTTTGAGATAGCGTGTCTACCTGGACTATCGTTTCTGTGCAAAAGTGAGACAAATGTTCTGTTTGGACTGTACTGCAGCCCATCACACAGTTTTTCTACGTGTTGCGACACAAGACAATGTTGAGGGCGAGCAAACAATCTTCTGTCTTGTTTATTTTTCATGACCAATCATCTGGCCACAAGTCAATTCGATGCATCACTTAATTTTTGAAATAGCTTGTCCAGCACAGTACATCTATGATTGCGTATGAAAGATATATTTTGTTTATTAGACTGTAGTATTACACTTAAAATTACCGTTTATCATATCAATCGAAATATTGTTAACATTGTAATTGACCTTTTAAAAAAACGGTGTGATTTTTTGCGACAGTCACATGCACACTACATTGTTTCTTTTCAGTGAAAAGTTCAGGCTTTTAAAGTAGCTCTACCCGCATTGTTTGTTTTACTAGTTTAAACAATGTAACCACTTGATTTTCTATTTCGCTCTCGGACGTTTCACGCCGTCAGAGAAAAAAAAATTATAAGCTTTATTTTAGATTCGAGGGATTTATTGGGCTCTTAAATAGTTCGAAATTTTTGTAACGTCAAAATTCTATAATTAAACGTGGGCGGATCGTTTCGATAGATGTCTCCATCACTACAAAGTGCAAAGCTTTCATATTGCTAGAAAAAAAATAGAAATTTGAAAACAAAATGTATTTTTCATTGTCAAAACTAAAAAAATTGCACGGGCAAGCAACTATAAACTGATGACTTAATTCCGGTTATGCCATTCTACTTGTCCGATATAGCGCCCTCTGTTGAAAATTTGAAGAGCTCCCTCTATTGATATAATAAACAGCTATTTTGTGATCCAATAAATAGTGCACTCTATTGAAAAACATAACAGCGCCCTCTACTGACCATACAGTTACCGACTCGCCCCTTACCAACTCGCCCCACTTGTTAGCCCCAAACGGGAAAGGTCAATAGAGGGCGCTATTTATCGAATCAATAGAGGGCGCAGTTCTTTTATCAGTTGACAGATGGCGCCAGATATCACCACATGGGGAAATTGCAACGTGATCCACAACTCGTTTTGGAAAGGTAAATTTCAGAATAAAATACAGGATTCTTTTGGAGCAGTTATTCAAGATCAGCGTAGTAAGACACTCGTAACGTGAACGTATAGTTTTGTCCCATTCTGACTAATAAAAAAGTAATAAATTATGCTGGCATGGCTGGCGAAAAAAATGTCAGTTAAGTTAGGCCTACGGCTAGGCTAGGCCTTGTTTGAGTTTGCATGGACAGTCCCTAATTTTCGGAAGAATTGCTCCTTTAGTACACGTCCAGCAAATACCAACTCACGCTTTATTTAGCCGTTATAAATGGAATGCCATGGCCTAGCAGTTAAAGAGCACCGGACTCATGTTCTGGTGTTTCAGAGGCAACAATGTCACGTGGGTTCGAGCCCGCCGGCGGACACTTGTGCTTAAGCAAGGCACTTGACCATTCTTGCTTCGTTCTTTGGATGGGACGTAAAGCTGTAGGTCCCGTGTGTTGTATAATAAGGGAATAAATGTGTGCTCCGGAGGTTTTTATCACTCGTTTAATAACCCTTAGGTCGAGTTCGGGCGGTCTGTTCTTGACACGCGAACTTTGTTCTCGCGCTCGAACCACACGAACACGTCCCAAGAACATTGTACTCGGAACAAAATCGCACACCACCTATCCGCCGGGGGTTTGCACGAACACACGTAAAAAAGCGCGGGATTTCAAAACAGCGGCAGAAACTTCTCTAGCAAAATGGCCGACGGACATGACGGATTCAGCGTTGCTGAGAAGGGGTAGGATATTTTAATTGCTTTTAATTCTTTTTTCCCTCGGGTAGGTAGTCAGTTCTGAAGACAAATTTGTTTGCAAGGCAGAAGTTTGAAGCAAATTTCACCGCGGAAACATTTTGGTGGTTGATATTAGCTGTAAAGCGACTGTAAGCATGGTATTGTGTAAGGAAAGGGGTGAACCGTAAACTAGTAAAATATTCTTTCCGACTCTGTGAAATGTCATGAATGTGTAATGTTACGTTCATATAGCTCCATGGTTTAATAATGCAGATAAAACTAGGCCTAAGTCAGTAAGAAAAACTAAGTCAGTAAGCACTAACTTAACTGTGTCTGTGATCATGGTCAGATGGTGTGATTATTTTGCATACAAAATTAATGTCCCTACCTAGCAGCTGCCTGGTATTTACTATAGGCTACTAAAAAAGCCTTAGTACTCCTTAGTCTAAGGAGTAATGTTACACGTATTTATATAATTTACCTAGCTGCCTAGTTGCGATAATCGTAACCCACCATCCTCCCGACGCGACGGTCGAAGACCGGAGGGTTAAGAGAGTCGAGACAACTAGGGCTTAGTTAGTGTACAAAATTTACATAGGCCTAGTTGCAATTTTGACCATTTTTGCCAGACTAGTCACCAGATTTGCCCAATTTTTACCACTTTCCTCAAAATATTTTCTCAATGATGTTTTGAGTGTTATGAACGGAGTCATTACACATTGAAGATCGAATCTGTGTTCTTAAAATGTGTGTCATGATCTTTGAAAGTGGTAAAAATTGGGCACATCTGGTGACTAGTCTGGCAAAAATGGTCGAAATTGCTATTATGTAAATTGTGTACACTAGTTGTAACCCTCCGGTCTTCGACTGTCGGGAGGATGGTAGGTTACGATTATCGCAACTACTAGCTGCCTAGCACTTTTAGCAGCCTAGGGTGAGCTCAATATGCTCAATAACTGTTGAAACTTTTGTTTACCCTTATTGGAAATAGGTACACAACAAAGCAAGTTCCTGTCATAATCCGCTATGTTCCTGCTGGTATTGCAGAGCGTTTGAAATCTGGTAAGCATTTTGTTTGGGCTCATAAATCCCCTTATATATGTGGGGCCTATTTTAAGTTGGGGGCTATCCCAAAAACTATGTCCGAGACTATTGTTCCATACCTGTTGGTAGGTAGGGCTTTATACATTATAGGCCTAACAAGTAACATTTTTTAACAACAAATGTTTAAATTTTAATTCCATCTTGTGAATTATTATGACAATGACAATGACAATGAACGTATGAATCAGACAAAGATTTCTCATGGAAACATTTCTAAGTCCCCCAAAGCACTCACTGCACATAATTGGTTACCGTGCCAGTACAAATGCAAAAGTATAACATTACCAGTTAACGGTCAAATCTACACTGCCTAGTTTTTATTTTGTTTTTTATTTTTAACTTGGTGACTTTAAATGGGAAAGGGCTGCAAGGTTTCATTATCAGTACAGACAAGTTTCCCTTTTCCAATTATTTCCATCTCAATTTCATACAAAGAAATTATCTTAATTTGCTACACAGGTCCTGTGCATTACATGTATTTAGACCATTATTTTTATATTGAATCTTCTCATAGATGAAAGTTTTGCACAAACATTTTGTGCAACGGTACAGCGGCCTGGCAGGACTAGCCAACCGAAAACACGAGAGACACCTCCCCTAACCAACAGAACTGGACAGCCACGGTTACATGAAGCAGGGATGCCCCATCCAACCCAGTCCAGCCTTACACCAGGACAAGAGACAGAGGCAGGGCCCTCTTCAGTTGGACATGGTAAAATTTGAACTAATATGTTATTAGCATGTAGTGTAGTATTATGTAACTTCCCAGACGGGGGTCTTGAGCACAGAAAAACATGGAAATTAAACAAATTCAGGTCAAATTTACTTGCTCTTCAGCTGACAGAGTTATGCAAAATTGTAATGAGACAGGGTCCTCATTATTTCATCAGCTGAGTTTTTGGTCTTAGTATGTGTACTTTTCTTTAGTGTTGTTGTACCTGAGATCAAATCCAAGTCACAAACTATGAAGAGTAGGGCTGTTCAATTTCGAAAATTTAGTATTTGATTATTTGAAACTAGTATATTTAAATGGGTTAGACCATTATTGTTATATTATATTCTTCTCATAGATGAAAGTTTTGCACAAACATTTTGTGCAACGGTACAGCGGCCTGGCAGGACTAGCCAACCGAAAACACGAGAGACACCTCCCCTAACCAACAGAACTGGACAGCCACGGTTACATGAAGCAGGGATGCCCCATCCAACCCAGTCCAGCCTTACACCAGGACAAGAGACAGAGGCAGGGCCCTCTTCAGTTGGACATGGTAAAATTTGAACTAATAACATGTTATTAGCATGTAGTGTAGTATTATGTAACTTCCCAGACGGGGGTCTTGAGCACAGAAAAACATGGAAATTAAACAAATTCAGGTCAAATTTACTTGCTCTTCAGCTGACAGAGTTATGCAAAATTGTAATGAGACAGGGTCCTCATTATTTCATCAGCTGAGTCAGCTGAGTTTTGGTCTTAGTATGTAGTATGTGTACTTTTCTTTAGTGTTGTTGTACCTGAGATCAAAGCCAAGTCACAAACTATAAAGAGTAGGGCTGTTCAATTTCGAATAGTTTAGTATTTGATTATTCAAAACTGCGTTAGACTGAATATTCGAATATTCAAAATTCGCCAATCATATTTACACGAGCCAGTTAAAACTCCATACTGCGTCAGTTAAAATTTGAAGGCATAGCGTGTAGGTGGTTTGCGTGTGGTAATCGCTATTATGGAGCACTGGTTGCGACATTATTTTGCGTGCGCCTTTTGTTGCATAAAGATTATCACTAATACTTCACTGTTAACATTACATCACCGCGCAGTGTGTGTGTATGGCGTATATGTTCTACATGAATATGTCAACAGGCAAATCCTGAATCACAGTTGTAAAATACATGTACTACATGTATACTCATGCCTGATTTTTTCCTTTGTTCCAGATGAAAGAAAAACCTGGAGTGACAGAGATAGTACCCTGCTTGTGAGCTTGAGAGTCAAGATGGAAGATTCATTCCACGGAACCAAAGCTCATAAAGTGTTATGGAATAAAATTGCCAAAGAAATGCAAAGTAAGGGTTGTTTGGTCACAACAGACCACTGCCAAAACAAATGGAAATCAATTAAACGAGAGTATAAACAAACAGTGGATCATAATTCCCAAACAGGGGCCAATAGGAAGATCTGTAAATTTTACACTGAATTAGATGAATTATATGGCAACAACGAGAGTACCAGACCATCCATGACACTTAGCAGTTGTAGTGTGCCATCTACTACAGGTAACCTCCTTGATGAAACGGAGGAACCTGCTGAAAAAGTGGCAAAGCTGCCCATAGGGCGAAAAAGTCGTAAGCCAACAAAATTGCCCAATGTAGTAGACTGGCTTAATGAGTTTCATAAGGAACAAAGAGAGAGAGACAAACGGCGAGAAGAAATGGTGAGAGAACACAATCGACAGAAACTTGACAGATTTGACAGACTTCTCGATATTCTTGCTAAATCGAAAAAAGAGGATTGAACATTCTCGATTGATCAGTTGATCAGGCTAAAAGTTCTGTGTTGTTGGTGTTCCTTTTTTGCTAAATCGTCGCAGAGCTGGCGAATCGACCATTTTTGCGATTTCGATATTTTGTTATTTTTAGGCTTTATGAAGGTTGCTCTTTCAGGTATTTATGCCAAAATTCTTAATATTTGTCTGGATTTTGAGATTCAGAGCCCCCCTTGTGGCGAATCACTCACAAAAACAAATCCATAATTTGACATAGTGTCGAATACGAAATTTCGCTGGTAAGCAGCTTATGTAAGGTGTGCGTTCCAAGTACCAACGAATGTTATTCGTCAGTTTGTCGGATTGCGCGTGCGTGCACGCGCGATCCGACAAACTGACGCGAATAGCATACAAACAGTGTGAAGAACAACCGGATATTGCAGTTTAATGTAATTTGACAAACTGACGAATGCGTTTACGATCAAATAAAATCATATCGCACAACTTCTCTGATTAAATAAGTGACCTGGTGGATTCTTAGTTTCATATTTTATTCAGAATATATACTAACAGTTTTTTTATCGAAACATTGAGGGTAAAATACGGCGCCCGGAGAAGTGTCCAACTTCAATCGCGAATTACTCCAAACAAGGTTTTCGCTTATTCGTCGGTTTGTCAGCTCTGCGACGAAATACTCTGCAAATATAAATATAAAAATAACTAGAAATGTGTTTGTGGACAAACACTGAGCTGTTTCGACCGTTTTATTAATGACTGCCGTAAAGGAGTTTCATCCAGGTCGAATGAACATGTACAAGCGTATTCTATACAAAAAGTGTCCATCCTATGTAAAATTATAATATTTTTCATGACGTCAGGATGACGGCACACATTTTAAAAACTTTTCTGTAACTATCTACGACCTAACAAACTTTTTTGCAAACATTTTTTTTCGAATTAACCACGTTCCATTGGTGAGATATGAGTAAAAGGTCCAAAAATTGAATAATTCATATGAAATCACATGATGACGTCATCGTGACGTCACTGCAATTTTTGTCTATAACACTTCCTGGAATATCTGCATACCGAGATTGAACCCAATCGGACCTCAGGTTCTCTAGATATAGTGACTTAAACTATGCAGTTTTAGGATGATGTCAAGTGACACGTGATGACGTCATGATGCCGTCATGATTCGACCTGAATCTTCAGATGGTGGTCCAAGTGTGTGCCAGGTTTGAAGTCGATCGGACCGTATTTTATACATTTTTTGCAAAATTTGATTAAGGGAATAAATGTGTGCTCCGGAGGTTTTTATCACTCTGTTTAATACCACTTAGAGTCTGGGTGCTGATAATTACCCGAGCCGGAGGCGAGGGTAATTATCAGCACCCAGACTCTAAGTGGTATTAAACAGAGTGATAAATACCGACGGAGTACATATTTATTCCCATTCATAAATACCTTTTCGGTAAAAAAAAATCATATAATTCGTTCAAAACATCCCGATTTTGTTCAACAAATTCACTTTATGCTTTTGAATCATCCCTCCTGCAAAATAATGGAGTGTTCAGCTGGCGAGTAAGATGAAAACAACCCTTTTATGGAGATTGACGCGCGCGTATCATGTTCTATGCGATGTCGCGCAGAACGCACCTGGCGCGTTGCGTTTTGAATTTAGAACTATAAAATTCTAACTCCCTGGTAGTGTTGCGCATGTCTACGTGAGGATTGTGAACGTTCAACCAATGAAACGATAAGAGGCACTGGATTTTTAGGAGTCCACATTTTATTGTAACTGGAAAAGTGTTTAAGACCAGCTAGCCATGTCTTTATCATCCGTTTAATACCGGCCACGTGACGGGCTCTCGACCAATAGGAATGGCTAAACTGTCTGAGGTATTTATGAATAAATATTAAAATTTGAAAAATTCATAAAAAATCAGATGATGACGTCATGATGATGTCACTTCAGATTTTGAATGCTGTTATCTATACCTACCTACCCACCAAGTTTCATAACGATCGGACATACCCTTATATGTGAATCAAAAAATCACGTTTTTGATGACGTCATGATGACGTCACACATTTTACGAAATTTTGTGCATCTATCTATGACCTAACAAACCTGTTACAAAAAGAATTTCGAATTTACCACATTCCGTTCATGAGATATGAGTAAAAGGTCCAAAAATTGAATAATTTATATAAAATCACACGATGACGTCATCATGACGTCACTGCAATTTTCGTCTATAACACGTCCCGGAACACTTGCATACCAAGTTTGAACCAAATCGGACTTCCGGTTCTGTAGATATAGGGCCTTAAAGTATGCTCCTTAAGGATGACGTCACGTGACACGTGATGACGTCATGATGACGAAAAGTTTCGGCATACATCTTCAGATGTTGGTCTAAGTGTGTGCCAGGTTTGAAGTCGATCGGATTTGAAAAAAGTCCAAAAGTGCCTTGTTGAACGAAAACACGTGTTATCCTATGGGAAAAAAAGTGGAAGAAAAAAAAAAAAAAAGAGAGAAAAAAAAAAATAACAAAAACAAGAGCTGTTTCGGTGTGTACACCGAAACAGCTAATTAAACTTCATATAATAAATATGGCAGAGCTTGTATAGTTTCATCTGATTATATGTTCCCTTTCCATCTTTGAAAATTATAACATTATTCACAATATACAATTCTATCAGTACATTTGTACCTTTGCTCTTGGTCAAATGAAGTGTGTATTGTTATAAAGTAGGTTTATTGCTGTAGTCTCACAAGAAGTTGTGTTTCCTGTAAAATGTAGGTGGTAAAGTTTTTCTCCTAGTTTTTCCTCAGCTAAAGAAAACCTATAACTGCATTTTTTGATAGGTTCTGAGTTATTACTTTGGGGCAAGTAATACTGTGAATCAATCATTTGGACACAGACAAATGTTATCTGTTCATTTTTTTTGTTCTGGTTCTTTAATATGCTTGTATACTTACAAATAGGTCATTTGGCTTTGAGCCTTAAACAAGTTCATAAAATTTGGGTAACAATAAATAACAATAAACAGGCCTAATAATAAAATATATTATTTAAAAAAATGCATTCCATGTCACACAGACATCACAAAGCGCTGTACAATTAAAATTCCATAAGTTATTAAGAAATACAGATAAAAGCAGTCAAAACAAAAGACAAGTAATTAAACAATCAATAAAAAATAACAAATACTTTTAGCTGCCCTACCAAGATCACATAATAAATTAATTTGTATTAATTGTATCAGCCAAAAGTTTCCATACATTGATTTCCTACAGTAATAGTGAAAAAAATGCCCACTAATTTTTATGCTGTTGAAAAAAATTGTTTATTACAAACTGAAGTTGTACTAACCGTTTTTGGCCTTGTTGGAGTTGGTATTAATTTTCAAAAAAAAAATTAATGTACGTTTATTACAAACTGAAGTTGTATTAACTGTTTTTGGCCTTGTTAGAGTTGGTATTAACCTTCAAAATAAAACAAGAATTTGGTAAGAAATTTGCAAAATTTTCTCACATACCAGGTCTCTGTTATTTTAAGTTAGTCAACACGAGTATAATATCCAGATACAATTGACATTTTTAAGGTCACTATTTTGGATATAAAATATGACAAACGGCAACTTCCTGAAAATCAGAACAATGAAAACGTACATGTTACATATGAGTTTGCACGTAACTTCTGATTTGATGACGTTCTAGCATTTGCACACCAATGACTGGAAAGTCTAGTGTAGTGCAATTATTTGTGTAAAATAATACTTCTGCATGTTTACTGAATGACGGCGTAAAAACAAGGGAAACGCATCATTTTCCAAATTTACACTTTTTCTCAAGCGTTCAAGCTCCACTTTGGTAAATGTGTGGGAAATTCACCTCCATTTTAAATGTTTTTTCATATATCGTTGCACTTCAGTAATCATGGACATAAAGGTTATCTGATGTGTCTGTGAATCAACTATGTTGCCTAAAATTAGGCTTAACAGATCGGAAAATATGAAGTGATGTCTCATTCAGTTTGATAGTTATAGCTAAAATTGTTTCTTTTAATTTTGACAATGTAATTTGACATTTGATAATGTCACAGTGATGTCACAAAAATATGCACACCAAACTTTGGGTTTCTACCAGATTTAAAGTTTACACCATGACCGGTTTAAAGACATTTGCTTATTTGAATACAAACTTTTCAGTAGTTTAAATTCATTTAACTTTGAGTTTAACCATGGAAGTATATGTAAGGGTCAGACAACAATATTTAGCCCCCACTCAAGATCTGTCAGATCCGATATAAGGAGTATCATACCATGTTCCCTCAAATACAGTTATAAGAAATCGGTCATTGTTTGAGTTAAACTTTTTTGTAACTTGATGACTGATGGTGTCATCATGACATCACACTTGCATGCACAAGTTACTGGGTATAAAGGTTGATGATAATGCCAGTTTTCAAGTTGATATATTTTACCCTCTTGAAAAGACTTACAGATTTGTGTGTGGAAAAAAACACTAAAAAGAAGAAACCAATACAGTTGAAGACTGATAAGAAGAGCACTGTTAATACAACGTCATGCTTATAACAAGGAAAATTTTAGGTCCCAAGTCTGTGGTTTTTCTTTGTTTTCAATACTGTTAATACAAGATATCTGTTATAACAAGGAATTTTGTAAAGTCTGAAGGACCCTGTTATATCAGTGTTTCACTGTATATTGGAAAATTTGGGGAGTTTTATTATCCATTTCCAAACTTTACACTGCTGATGAATCTGAGTCTGTCCCGTAGAGCTATATTAGATTACTAGAGCGCTAACTCGATGTACAAAGTGATGCCTGCTGATCGCATCCATGTTTGTGCACAAACCTATGGGAAAACTCGAAATTTTGTACAGCTTTTGTATGGCTATGTGCATATCTGCGTTTTTATTCTATACTGGTGCGTTATCAAAGCCCAAAACAGAAACACAAAATCACTAAGTGAGCGTTTCATTTTGTTCTGCGCAAACAACGCAAACACATGCACGGATCAGCTCCAGATAATTATGCTGTGACGCTTTTTAACTATCATGACGCGCCGCGCGTATGTTGTACTTGCGCGTTGCATTTAGAGTACACTTCCAAAATTCACTCCATTTAATTTCATTGTTCTACAAACACGCACATTAATTCAAAATGTCTGTGCCCAGACAACTTCAAAATATCTCCGCGCGTAAGAATGAGGAGGTCGCGCTCTAGTAATTTAATATAGCTCTATGGTCTGTCCACACTAAATGATACAACTGCACAACATAAAAAATAGCTCTCATTTAAACTTTGTTAACAGTCAAGAAATAAGCTTCAATGATTCTAGTAGTAGTCGTACAATAGTAGAAATATAGTGTACATAATAAAGGATTTGGTTGTTAGTTGTTGAAATAATGAGAAATTTGATACAAATGTCCAGTTTATTTTTCGGGGGTCCTTTTTCAAGTTATGTAAAATAGGCATTATCATGCGGAAAAAAAACAATTCATGGGTACTGAAAATGTTACAGATGAGAAATAAGTTGAAATATAAAGCTCCTCATTTTAGTCTGGAAAAAATGAATGTGGGTGTACATGTACAGTGTCCTAACTATTCTCTTTGTTAAAAATGTCTCCATCAATTAGCAAAACAATTAATTTGAAATTTTCTTGTCTGTCCTGGTAACAAACGTTATTTTCAAGGCATCCGTTTTCCAAATACTTCCTTAAGAAAGAGGATTGTTTCTTTGAAAGTTCTCTAAATGGGCAATTCCACGGTAACGGAATTACAATTCAGAGAAATTTTGGCTCTAATTTAATGGATTTTGTTATCTATAGTGTCAACTAGGCCCTATGCTTTGAGATAATTGATTCAGACTGTACTTCTTACATAATTCGTACTTCACAAATTTTCCGAAAAATGTCGTTTCTCATACGGAATTGCCCAACTACATGTACTAACAGTGTGGGCACTTAATTATACTGGAACAAATATTATCGGACTTGGTTCATACTGCTTTGAATAATGGTGAGTCGAAAAAAAGTGTTTGTCCATGTGACAAACATTATGCCTTCACAATTAACCTTCCATAGCTCCTTAAATATTGCTTAAATTTTCTTAACCTTTCTGGTGTAAGAAGCATAAAAATAAGAAGGGCAAAATATTGCAGTTGGAAATTCAAACTCGGTGTCACAAAAATGTATCATTTAGTGTGGACAAAGACAGATCATAGAGCTTTATTAAATTACTAGAGCGCGAACTCCTCATTCTTATGCACATAGCCATACAAAAGCTGTACAAAATTTCGAGTTTTCCCATAGGTTTGTGTACAAACATGGATGCGCTCAGCAGGCATCACTTTGTACGTCGAGTTAGCGCTCTAGTAATCTAATATAGCTCTACGGGACAGACCCATCTAAGGAGAAAACTCCAAACTCACTAACACTGGGCAACCAAAGCATTCCTCCTGACATGTCCACCTGTTGCATCTGCAAAGATATTCTCAAGTTCCATGTCATCTTGGTCGTCGAAGTTGATGAAACTGCTCACATCGTCATCAGACAGCACGCACAAGTTGTGCATTACACATGTAGCCATTATAAATTGGCATATCTGACTTATGTCATGGAACATGAGCTCTCGCAATCTTCGGAACCTGCCTTTTAGGTGGCCTATGGCTCTTTCCACAACTTGGCGTTTGCCAGACAACATCCTGTTAAATCTGCGTTGCTGCTGCGACAGGTGTCCGTTGTCTTTGAAGGGAGTTACCAGCCAGCTTCTGAGCGGGTAGGCAGTATCACCTATGAGATACTGATGCTCTGCCAATTTATGTCCATCTTCAACGTCATGGTACAGTGGAGAGTTGCGGAAAACCCGTGCATCGTGCACTGATCCCGGCCATCCTACATATGCATCCGTTATTAGCATCATGTCATCAACTACAAGCTGCAGACAAATAGAGAAAATATCATAACACAAAGGGTTAAATAATATAGCATATCATTTTCAATTTTACGGGGGAATTTTCTGAATACAGCTTTCTGAACCCATGACTGAGCACAATAAGCACAATCAGCACAGATATCAAGCAACAAGCACAGATGCGTTGGGTAATTATTGATTCAAAATGACAGAGCTACCAGTTGGATCTCCTTTAAGACACCAGAAATGCACAATCTTCATTTGAAATCTTTTCTTTTCATTTGTTGCCTTTTTAATGTAGTTTGTGTCAGTATTTGCCTCAGTTGTTGATCGCATCGCGCAATTTAAGTTTTCGCGCGCAAACTTGAACAAAATTAATCACCGCGCACAATTTTTGAAATTTGTGCGCGCAAATTTATAAACTACGTGTCTTTCAAAATTGCGCTCAACACCACGACTGTTTGTGGGCCCACTTATGATAATTTATGCTGGGTTAGGTCTAGTGTCATCGGAACTTATGAATTACGCACATAACCGCGTACAGTTGCAAGTCAGGTTCACGGACTTTACCTTCCCTTGAAAAAAAAATCCTCCAAGCCGCTAAAACCCCAATGGGGATCGAACTCGCACCATTGGAATTGTAATCCCATGTAGTATCCTACAGCGGTGATTCGACAACAGTGGTAATTTTAAACTATGCATGTATAACGCCTTTCAGCAAAAATCATATGCGTGCGGGTATGCATAATTCATCATAAGCTCCAATGACGCTATATAACCCAGCATAAATTATCATAAGTGGGCCCACAAATGGTCGTGATCCTGGCACTACGTCATTTATCTTTTGGAAAAACAGTTGTATTTATTTTCTGCCAAAAGAGATAAGTATCAACATGTGCATTGTATTTCAAAATACAGAAACAGTAGTCAACTAATTAAAGCGACCAGAGCAGTATTAATTTAAACATGACTAACCTGAAGCTGGACGGATGGATAGGATTTTCGATTTATATAATCAGGTTGACCATTCAGAATGTTGATAATTCTGATGTGGGTCCCATCGATCACACCAACGATGCCACGAAGGCAGCTTTCCCCAGCAAACCCTTCAGCAATATGAGCTTGTCTTGTTTGGTCAGGCCATCTTATCACACTATGCCGTCTAGTGGATATAGTTGCTGCAACTTTGTGAATGCATGAGTGAACGGTTGACTTGGACAACCCAAACATATGGCTTACACCTCTCATGCTACTTTGGTTACAGGCATACCACAGGAAGGTCAGACATTGCTTGTCAGGCAGAAGTGGAGTATTTCCTCCGCAATAATCACGGTAAAGTTCAGGTCCCACTTCACCAAGCAATCTTTCAAATGTGACACGACTTATTCTAAAATGATATTTAAAGTCCCAGGAGGTGTACTGTGGCACGACTGTTTCAACGAATCCCTCAATTCTTGGTACTTTCTCTCTCTTCTGGTTTACGAATGCCAGGATATATGAAGGAAAATCGTTATCTCCATCAAGTGCTTCGTCATCATCAAATTCAAACATTAAATCATGTAGAACGATAGCTAATTCTGCCATTCTGACAGTGACTGACACCGCCTCAAACTCAAACACACCTCGCGGAACATGTTTATAAACAAACGGCAGCCATCTTTAAATACCATCATGAGAGATTTGTTGTTGCCATGATGGCGCTCTTCATTGTTCGGGTCGTTCGGGCGGGTAGTCCGGGAACAAAACTCCGCTGTTCACGAACAGCCGAGAACGCGGTCGCCCGAACTCGACCGTAGAGTCTGGGTGCTGATAATTGCCGGAGGCGAGGGTAATTATCAGCACCCAGACTCTAAGCGGTATTAAACGAGTGATAAATACCGACCGAGCACATATTTATTCCCATTCATAAATACCTTATCCGTAAAAAAATTTCAAATAATTCGTTCAAAAAATCACGATTTTGTTCAACAAGTTCACTTCATGCTTTTTGAAACATCCCTCTAGCAAAATAATGGAGTGTTCAGCTGGCGAGTAAGATGTAAACAACCCTTTTATGGAGATTGACGCGCGCGTAACATGTTCTGCGCGATGTCACGCAGAACGCACCTGGGGCGTTGCGTTTTGAATTTAGAACTATAAAATTCTGACTCGCTTGTAGTGTTGCGCATGCCTACGTGAGGATTGTGAACGTTCAACCAATGAAACGGTAAGAGGCACTGGATTTTTAGGAGTCCACATTTTATTGTGACACTGGAAAAGTGTTTAAGACCAGCTAGCCATGTCTTTATCATCCTGTGACAAAAATCAGCTTTTCCTTTAAATAATCTTTCCGTACTAGAGAATAGTCTGGTTTCCTTAACATGAATCTCGGACTACAGAATGGAGATGAAACTTGTTGATTTTAGGTCATTTTCAGCCCTCAAATCCAACTTTATTCACCTACTAGACTTACCAAATATTCGTAGTATTTATAGAATAATTCCACAATGATGTGAAGAAGCCATTAACTTTGCGTTACACTGTTGTTTCTTCCAGGTACTTACATGTATGCAAGTTTTATAACGTTCAAGGCATTTGACGTATGTGCACAGTGTTATTGAATGCACCCATTGTTTGTGTGTTATTGACTTTTGTACACAGGTTAATGATGTACTTAACTAATGCAGAGATTTCATCATCAGGGTTGGTGACTCGTTTTGCATACGCGATACGCGCTACGCGCACTTTTAGCCTATTGGAACGCGCGCGCTCACTGCGACCCAGATTCAGCCCTGCCAAAAGTGCATAAAAGGCGAGCTGGAACAGCAATCGAGCGCTCTGTTCGCTCCAGAACAAGCCCTCTGGGAAGAACCAAGCGGATGTCAGGATTCGGAAGAAGAAGAGGAATAAGAACAAGGAACAAGCAAGAGGGAACAAGCAAGAAGATGAAGAAACAAGAGGAATTGAAGAAGTAGCCTGAGGAAGAAGAGACGAAGCACGAAGAAGAATAATACCGATGTCCACACTGAAAAGGAAGCAACGGCCAACGACAGCCCATGCATTATATACGCCGTGTACTCTGTGTACCCGCGCACAAAGCATGCTTAATTAGACTTGCTATCAGTCCAATTTGCGCACTGTGTTTAAGCGGCAGCAATTAGAATGTGCGTATGCAAACTAAAGTGACCCAATCTGATGAAGTGTTTAATTATTATTATTTGATGGTGATTGATTAAAACAAACAAGAAGTTTGATTGTGAATTATAGCCACTTGTCTCTGCTGCCTGACTGATTTATGTCAGTTATTGTCTTTTTAAGTGATCTGCCTCAGAATAAAGGTTTAGGGCAAGACTTTAGGCCAGACTTTTAGGCAAGACTTTAGGGTCAGACTTTATAGGGAAAGACTTAAGAGCCAGACTTTAGGCCTATAGGACAGACTCAAATTATATTGCCTCCTCCACCCCAGCCTTCCCTTTTCTATTGCGTTTGCGCGCCAAGTTATAGTCCAACCCCTCCCCTTACCCTTCCCCTATCCATAAAGTCATCGAGGCCTTGAAGAAAGCTACGCTACCAGACGAACTCCACTTGGGTCAGGTTGACGTCCTGAGATTGTGACGGCGCCCTCAACGCTGGTCCCGGTCAAGCACTAGCTCAGCCATACATCACCGATTTCTCCTGGTTATTAATCCCGGCGGGTTTTTAGGGATTCGTTGTACCCCTGGGTATATCGAGCCCCGGATTCCCGTTACAATCCGTTTAATACCGGCCACGTGATGGGCTCTCGACCAATAGGAATAGTTAAACTGTCTAAGGTATTTATGAATACTTGTTCGCTACATGTAAGTAAGAGAAGGGGTTCGCCTCGGTGTCCTGGCATGGCAGTGGCCGCAGCAACTTATAATGAACCAATAAAAGGTGCTACATAATGGGTCTCATATTACTCATGTACTTCATTCATCTAATAATAGACATAACTGCCAGCGCCTTGAATACTTATACTCCGTTGCGATAATGCCTGAATAGGTTTCTGCAACGTAACCATACAGATACAGATAAAAGTGCCTTTCTGTTATCCTACGGTTTTCATAGAGATTGATGACGTGCACACTGGTGCATGCCATGAGCAGCAGTGATGCAAGACACAGAGTCAGAGGAATGCAGCATATGATGCAATTGATGGCAGTACAGATAGCAGGTTGATCTCCAATGGGCAGCAGATATGGAAAGAATGTTGCAACCTGACGCCACTTCAGCGGTACAAAATCTATGGTGAGTCAAAAAAATTGAAGTATTTCCTAATATTAAAATTGCAAATGTTTCTTAGTCCTAGATTCATGTCCTAGCATAATTTTTGCAATGACTGTCCTTCATTGAGATGATGTATGAGGAAAACGGCAGAGTCATATTCTTTTTTTTTGGCCTAATAGAGAGTCGGGAACTAGGACAGCTTTTATGGGCGGAAACCAGTTCAAGCTAGTTCCCGATTGTCTTATACCATTTGAAATCCACTTGTGTTCACAAGCGAGATCCAGTCTACTCATTATCATAATCAATACATTGCGCTCGGTAACGGAATCGCACTCGGGATATGGGGACCATTGAATGTACGCTGGGCCATGAAGACTACATCACGTCGTTCAAACATTAACACAAGTCGGAAATTTAACGTGTTCATGATCGCGAGGGGAGCTCTCAGAATTGAGCGGGAAATTTCACTTTTCTTCCGGATCGTAAGTAAACTTCAGTACAACCATCTTAATCATCGATGTCTATTTGTACCTCAGGTGGCATATCTAGTAATTGGGAGGCCATGTAGAGGGTGAAATCTGCATGTTAAAAAGACAATAAGTTGGGTCCAAGTTACTCGGACTACTGTAACAGTGTAAGTGTAGTCCGAAAATTTGGGACTCTCAATACTGTGTATGAGACTAGTCCCAAAACTTATGGTATTGAAAACATGCAAAGCAAGAAAATAGACTGGCACCTGAAACAACCAGTCCAACACAGCTTCAGTACTGCATCAATCAACCATGCCAAAAGAATTTAAGAAACATGTGGCATGAAGCGGGAACTAGTCTCAATTTACTTCACATTTCTCCATAGTCAAGCCACCAGACTATTGACACTGAATGAAGAGGTCAGTCTTTTCAAATAGTTGGACCATATGGTCATGATGGTTGGACATGTACCAGTCTAGTATTTAGTCCAATTTTGAAATCACTTGACGTCCCTCTCATGTGCAAAACATTGAAGAAAAATGTCCTTTGAAAATTGAATTGAGTCTCCAAACTTGGTTGGTGAAATACTGAGGACATTTTCTTTGCCCGTTTTGTTTTGCACGTTTCAGAGCACTCCAGAGCCCTGTCTGCTGTAAGTGTAACTTAGCCCTAGGCTAGTCCTAGCCCAGGTTGGACTCTGTTTTGTACACGCAACGGAGTCCAGGGTATGAATCTCTCCTGCCATAGCGAAAAAAGTTTTAACACATTTAGTATTAGTAAATATTGCTTGAGATTATTTATGCTTATTGAATTCTTCTCATTGTCTTTGGGTAATGAATTTTTTTTTCATTAGAAAATTGACGTGGCAGGTCACACAGTGGATGATTTGGTGAACAAGACAATAGAATACCTTCAGCCCAATCCAGGTAAGAACCAAAATTGAAACATCATTGAAGCTAACCTTCCAAAATCTTTCAAAATCCTATTTGCAAATTGTAGGCTTTTGCAGGATTGAGGCTATATGGCAAAAATGTTTGCCTGATTTATGAGGATGCACTGTGTCAAGGTCTTGGGCCGGATCTTGTGTTGTTCCCTGAGCTCAGGGAACCAGACTAGCTGGCTTGCATCCATTCACGGATGTGTAACCGCTTGCAAAAAAAATGTGGACTAAATAAATTGGGTAAATTGGAGCACTATTCGGAAAAATCAGTTTCTTCCAACGATGGTCGACCGACCATCTTTTGAAATCAATACAAAAATTCCACTTTTCTTAAAAATGACAGCACACCAGGTGCCATGATTTCACAGGATGTCTGAGACTGTCATTCACCTACAGTCAAGTAAAGTATTTCATAATAATTTGGTAGTTTTGTTTGTTGATGTTTGCAAATGTCGTATATTACCTTTAATTGTAATCTTTAGAATAATTATGTTTAGGGTGACTATAGAACAACGGTTTGAATCTGGTCTAAGTATTCACTTCAAACAACCAAATAGAGATAGATCTTCTATTTGTGTGCTGACCCAAATCAATCGCATTTTCTTTCCTGAACAGTCTCCAGAGCCATGAGTAAAGTCCGTGGTCAGAACAAAGGAGGAACCAAGCCTCAACAACCCGTAGGATTCCTGGGAGAAGTCATGCTGAAGAACGGCAGAGAATTAGGAAAAGATTCAGCGTTTGGTGAGCAAGCTTCAAGATGTATTCTCTTTCCTACTGTGGTAGACTGATCATAAAGCTCTCAAAAAGGTGCTCTCATCAGTGTTCCAATCCACCAACATAGTACCATGAGTATTGTGTAATTTATGTAGGGCCCAGCACTTCATATATGCAAGGCCAAGTAAAGAAATAAACCAGTTTCTCGTACCTGCCTGCTGCTTTTTTTGCACCCACTTTTTATTTTTTTATTTTTTTTTATTTATAAATGCATACATTTGCAATATACAGGTGAGTCAAAAAAGACAAACCCAAATGGCAGGACCAATTTTTGAATAAAGTTTTGCCTGTAGCACTTTCCAAATCTAGGATATGAAAGCCCAATCAATGGGCTTTGTATTAACACAAGAATCATTCACATCACTCATT